AGTAGAAGCTGTAGCGAAGAGGGACAAACTCCTTATTAATACCCTTGATTTCGGAAGAAACGCTGGATAAGCAGACACCTCTACACACCTTGCATATAATAAAATATATGACTATAGCTTTGAAACAGTGAAGTCCTTTAATGTTTGTGCTGTTAACATTTATAAGATGTCTGTGGAGAGGTGTGGGTAGACCTTGCCATCACACTGTTATGTGAGTCTACTTGCATCTTCAAACCAAACGATACTATGTATTATGGGTATTCTGTATATGCTTGGGCACACAAGGTTAATCTCAAAACTGTAATTTATGGCTCTTTACTACATCCTCCATCTCAGTCTTTAAGATCATTCATTAAATGCGTTCTGGGGAACTGAGGAGTGAGGAGGCTTCCAGAGTGAGGATATACATGTGTATCCTTTACGGAAGACTTTTGCATGATTCTGGCATGTGCCATATTAGTCCAGTTTCTCAGCCAGATGATGAAAGTGACGACTGAGTGAAGGACATCTCGTTTGGGAATCACATTTGGTGTCGAATCTCCTTCCTCATACCTTCATTATCTTTGCATCTCTTCCTCATGTCCTCAGAGGGAGCAGCTAAAACATGAGGAAAGGATGCACTTATGATCAATTAAAGATATGAGATCCACCTAAAGTTTGTACACTGCTTTATGCAGTGCTTTATTGGATTGTAAGAGTGCACTATATTCTCTCCACTGTATTTTCAGAGACCTTTGCAAAATAGCAGACTCCCAAGATAGGGCAAAATATATAGTTAATAGGCCATTGTTTCATATTGCTGCTGTCGGAAGAAAATCTCTTATCTCCAAAATGGTAACTTTATAGGAAAAGGACAAAACCTACTAAATGGAGATATGAGGAAAATGACCATTAAGTATAAGGTATCAGTTTTTTTCAGGAGATATTTCTGAGTTTACAAGTAAGATAATCACATGTGCATAAGGAAGGAGAACTTTAAAGGAAATTAAAACATCAAAGGAAGCATCAAAGAACATCAAAGGTTTTCGAAACCAGAGCTTAAAAAATTCTTAATAGATATTAAAAAAGTGGGACTCCTAACAAATATGCAAGACCTGGTACACTGTAAAAAAGGCTCGTCAGTTCAACCCCCCCAAAAAAATCACGTGGTAACAAGTAAATTAACTAGTTTTATTCAACCTAAATAAATACTGAACAGTTATTTTATTAGTTGAATAAACCTAGTTCAATTGCTTGTTACTACTTGAAGTAATTTTTAAGCTTGATCTGATGAGCCATTTTTACAATGTAGACCATCAAACAACAATAAACAATGGACTGACCACCTCAGAGTCTAGATCTCAACATCACTGTATGTTTGGGATTACTCGGATCGTGAGAAGCAGAAAATGCAACCAACTTCTGAGACTGAACTTTGGAGGTGTTTTTTAAAAAGCTGAAAGCAAGTCTCCCAAAAAGAATGGAAGCTATAATAAAGTTAAAGGGTGGGCACACTAAATACTGAGAAATGTGGTGTTATATTTTGTTGTTGAGGCATCTGTGTAATTTTATGTTAAACATATGTTGTCTGCTTTTTTCCAAAGGTTAAAAATGAGTAAATTGTACCTAATGTCTGTTTTGAGTGGTCTCTGATACAGTTCTTTATGTGTGTTTTTGCAGGTTGCTGTGGTGGCAGAAGCAGACCCAGAGAGGATGATGGGACAAACCGAAGCGTGGAGAATCCATCTTCAGCCTGAGAAAGAAGAGTTTACACTGCAGAAACCCCTGTATCACTTACACACATATACAGATACACAGGTAACATAAACGCACAAAAACAAACTAAAAATGCATCAAATTTAATGGATTCAAATCTGTACATTGTTTTTCCACATGAATGAGTAAATAGAATGCATTACATATTTCAGTGCACACATATGCAAATCATGCAGCTAAACATCAAGGCTCTCATTGTCTAGTCCTGGACGTTGTTGCTGCACAGTTTGGTGTTTGTCCTTGCTGATAAGCTCTGTTTAACTATATTCAACTCATCAGTTAGTTATTAATGTCTGAATAAGGTTTACAGAAGCAGAGAAAGTGCAAAACTTTGCATGCATATGGCTCTGCAGGGCTAAAAGAACATATACACGCATATACACACAAACAGTTAGCACTGCGCACTTTGACAAATAGTGCATCAACTTTAGCCTTTTTTTCAGTCAAGCATGTTGCAAAACCTGCTCTTTCAACCTTGAGTTCATGTAAACGGGTCAAAATGTGACATTTTGCCTCCCATAACTCTGAATGTTTAGCTTCGGTCATGTTGAAATCCTCTAAATAGCCGTAAGAATGTTTGACTAAAGCTAAGGTGATGACTCCATACTGGAATATTCACACAGCCAAGGGCCAAGGCCAAATATTGGTACACTATGTTAAGGCCACACATGGCTGTTATGGTCTGTTGCATAATGAGGAGAGTTTCAGGTTCATGTCCTCTGATGTGAGATCAGGAGTGGTAATAAGTGACTGATTTTGACTGAGGTTGATGGAGAATTGCCCACAAAATTTTTTAGGTTAAATGGATAATCAATTTAGAGGATAATTTCAAAATCAGTGTGGATCAATACTGAGGTTATTCAACTCATCACTGGCTCAGAATTGACTTCCACTGACATGTTTTTCAGCAGATTTCATGAATAGTGGAACTGAAACTTGGTTTTAGATTCAGCTCCTACATAATAGATACATACACTTAGTCTATAAAATCATATATGTGGGAAAACAAAGTTTAGAACTCAACCAGTGTGGCTGGGGATTTAACTTTCAGCTCATTAGTCAGTTTTTTTAACTGTAACCCTTTCCTGCAGTAATCTATAAGCCTTGGTGTACCTCAGAGTTAGGCTATCACCAACAAAGATAAAAAAATGAAGATTTAGAAATAAAGTTGATGAAAGAATAATAGTGGGTGTACCTACACAGGATTTATCTACAGACTAGTATGCTATTAAGTATGTGTGCAGCATAAAATATAAAATATATTTGTGACACGAACTTGAGGAGGATGAAACCTGGGCCAATCATCCCCAAAATCAATGTGCCAACAAGCCCACCCACATCTGAACACTGCTCTCTATTTACTTCATGTTAGGTAGCTTTCATTACTTATCAATGGGATTCAAATCATGCTATTTCTACTAATTTCGATAACTCAAAATCTCTCTTTAAAGCATTTCACTACTGTATTTACTCAGGGAATCATTTTTTATTACAGACCTTAACAGACTATAGCATTTAGAGCTCTTGACAAAATGAATCAATGCTGGTCAAGAGGGCAGTCATTTTTATGTTACATTTTTATGAGAGTTCCCCCTACTGACCAACCAACCCCTGTGCCGGCCAACCTCGCTCTCCCCTACTTCCTTGCAACAGTTTAGTGTCAGCAATGAAAAAAAGGCTTTCAGAAAAATTTGTGCATTTTTTCAGTTCATTTTCTGTCAATCTACACATCAAAGTAACAAAGCAAAGCACTGTAAAACTGTGTCTGTTCATGCAAACGGGTTCAGGCTTGGTTTGGGTTTCAAATTTAGCGGTACCGGTTAGGCCTGGATGGGTCGGGTCACGGGTACAGGTTGGGTTCAGGCTCCAATTTCACGCCTGTGCAGATGAACAAGGTAAGTACATTAATCATGGGTGCACTATGTTTATCAATATGGTTATTGATCAGTTGTTCCAAACACTGTGTGTTATAGATTGTGGCTGACCCCAGGGTGCGTATAGAGCAGGCGCTCAGGACGGCCGGCCTCCACCACACGCCCTACGCCAGAGCGCTCCTCTCTGAGATCCGGCCACCAAAGCCTCCCCGAAGGGACACAGAGTCCACCGTCCTCAGGTCCTAACTGCACAGTTAACGTTAATGCAAGCCAAGGCCTTGAGACAGATTTGTTAATGTTTCACATCCAGCCCAGGCACAGAACCAAAAACAGCAAAATAAACCAGGATGCCCCAGACGTTTGCCCTCAAACGAGTACAGGGAGACAGCCAGAAAGAGAAAAGATCATTTTCCCCTAAAATGTACTGCTGTATATTGCTCTAAAAAATTAAATATTCATTTTAAATGTGAATTTTTTATTGCCTACGTCCATCATGGGAGAGTGGGAGATGTAAATGTTTCCATTACTGTTGAAGGGGCTTTTAAAGAGCTCTGCTATTTTGCCTCTGCTGGAGCCTTTATTGCATAGCTGAAAGACTGAAATTTTGAATAGAGATGCATTAGAGAGCGTAGTGCAAGTATTAATGATGTTACAGAATAAAAATAAACAAAAGCAGGTAGTGGCTGGCAAAGTGCACTGGAAGAGAAAATGTGAGTGGATACAGTTTGGATTCAAACTGTTGTGAGTTGTTTGACCCGTAAAGGTGCACTACACATTTATGATGAAATTCATGGGTCAGATCTTGACCACCCAAGTTAAGAATGCATGATATATTGTTCTCATACCAAACTAATCCTTGCAGACCTCTGTCCAAAGAAGAACAAGCATATTTTAAGACTATATTTATTCACAAAGCACATTTACATGTATTTCTTTTCACATATTACATCAAATAAGAAATATTTTATAAAGTACATTTGTTCTGCACATTTAGAAACACAATACATACATAACAAATTCATAAGCAAAGCATGGAGAGTCAACGTCCATCTGAGCAACATCTGTGTTAAATAATACAAATACAAATACAGACAAGTGAAATTCTATTTACACTGTACAGAAGTCAAAGCACAGCACTAGCATAAGTTTTTCACGTACAGTTTGTGTCCAGGCTTTCTTAAGTGTTCTTAGTTTCTGAATGATGATGCCCATGTGTTTCTTCTTAAAGAAGAAAAGGTCTAATGTATCTAGGTCAGCGATGTTGAATTGTAGTCCCGCAGCACTGCATTTAGAGCAGTGGTCACCAAACCTCCTCCTGCAGGTCTACTATGTAGGTTTCACCCCCAACCCAAATCCAACACACCTCATTCAGCTAATCAAAGACTTCTGGAGGCAATAATCAGATGGATCAGTCTGCAGGAGCAGGGTTGGTGACCGCTGGTTTAGAACTTAGAGCTCTACATTAACTTATGCTGCTAACCGGTTATCAAGTTGAATGGCACATGTTGGAGTTGGGGAACTTGTGTATGTAAAAAGCCAAATTAGGCACTCTTAGACATTTCTTAATGAAAGAATTAGGGCAGGGGTGTCAAACTCAACTACAAAAATGGCCATATTAAAAAATCTCAACAAATCCGTGGGCCAGCTGTGTTTTTATTATATTTTTACTTTACATTTTGCCATGATCCCAGGCCATTGTTTATTCAAAATATCCCAAACTACAATGGCAAGATCATTGTTGGGGAGGGGATGGGAGCACACATTACGTTGCATTAGTGCAGCTCATGGTGAAATGCACTAATATTAATAGATAATTAAATTAAATAAATTTGCAGGCTGAATAGGATTGTGCCACAGGCCTTACTTGGCCCACGGACATCGTGTTTGACACATGGGAATTTGGGTGATCAGATACAGTTGATTCTTGGTGAATGTGTTTAGCTGATCAGACACAACTGGTTCTTGGTGAATGTGTTTTGATGATCAGATACAGCTGATTCTTGATGAATGTGTTTTGAGGATCAGACACAGCTGATTCTTGATGAATGTGTTGTGATGATCAGACACAGCTGATTCTTGATGAATGTGTTTTGATGATCAGATACAGCTGATTCTTGATGAATGTGTTTTGAGGATCAGACACAGCTGATTATTGGTAAATGTGTTTTCATGATCAGACACAGCTGATTCTTGATGAATGTGTTTTGATGATCAGACACAGCTGGTTGTTAGTGAATGTGTTTTCATGATCAGACACAGCTGATTCTTGATGAATGTGTTGTGATGATCAGACACAGCTGATTATTGGTAAATGTGTTTTCATGATCAGACACAGCTGATTCTTGATGAATGTGTTTTAAGGATCAGACACAGCTGATTCTTGATGAATGTGTTTTGAGGATCAGATACAGCTGATTCTTGATGAATGTGTTTTGAGGATCAGACACAGCTGATTATTGGTAAATGTGTTTTCATGATCAGACACAGCTGATTCTTGATGAATGTGTTTTGATGATCAGACACAGCTGGTTGTTAGTGAATGTGTTTTGATAATCAGACGCAGCTGAAAGCATTTAGGCGATAAGTCCCAGGCGTTTCTTGATGAAGTGGGCCACAAGACACTGGGGTCTCTGCTGGTACTCCACCAGAACATCATGAGGTGTGGAGATCTGATCCCCCTCGAACCGGTTCAGCAGAGTCACACAGATCACTGCAGCTGCACAAACACATTAATAGTCTGATTAACACCTTAACAGCATGCTCATTTAATTAGACAGTTTCGCTGAATTTATGCATCATTTAATGTAAATTGATTAAAGCTGCAGTGTGTGACATTTTCTCACAACAACTCCAAAAGAAATGAACATATTAAATCTGTAATAAATTAATGTATTTATTATGGAACACAATTTGTTTTAGATATCTTGAGAACTAAGAGAAACTTTCTTTCCACACCATCGAGCAATGTCCTCTTTCCTTTAAATCTAAAAATAATCGCTATAATCTTCACAAAACTACTTGGAACACTCTTCTTTAAGTAATCTATTTAAGCAATCTTGCATTTAGACTTCTGTCTCTGATTTTTAAAGGGCAAGCATGAATCCAATTACCTGTAAATAAGTGAAGTGACAGTTACACCACTTTGTTATTCTAAATCACACAGTATACTTCTAACAATATAATTGCTATAGTATTGAAACAGTCTGAGAATGGTTTTCGTTGAAGTGTATTTGCACAGCTCAGTCGTCTGCATCATTAAAAGCATTCTCCAGCTTTTCAGTGCCTGGCAGCCTATTTACCATACGCTCACCTGGGGAGCCAAGAAGGCTGAGTGAAATCTAGTGCAGATGTTTGCGTTTGGATCTAATGTGCAGAACACATGGCCCTGAATAGCCCTGAAATGTTGTGATCAAGCACTCCCCAGAAGCCCAGTGTGACTAGTTTAGAGTAGGTTTGGTTTCACTTACCTTAATAACGTAACGAAAAAATTGCATTACAGTCCTGAGTGGCATCTGTAGTTTCACAGATGAAAGCTAAACATGCATCACCACTTAAAATCTGTGGCAAGCCTGTAATTTCTGAATAACATTTGAACAGTTTTCCCTGTCGGAAGCATGCAGTGATTGTAATGACTTAATGACAAGGCTGAGGAAAGTAGTTCAGTGTACCTTTAAGGTTGCAGACACGACTCATGGCAGCAAATACTGTGGACTCCATCTCGATATTCCTGACACCAGCCTCATGAGCCTTCCTCAGATACTCCAGCTTCTCCTCAGTGGAGAACGAGCACAGAGCACCATCCAGTCGGCCCTGCCCTGGGGAGAAAGAGAAAGTGATGTTGATCAGAAGAAGAGTCAGGTGAGGCCACATTTTTTGCTTGTAAAATGCTCTTTATTAAACGAACATAAAGGAACAGAAAGGCCACTCAAAACCAGACAAAATAGTGGGGAGGTCACTTTTAGCCATAGGACTCCTCTCTATGGTAGACACTCAACCCAATTAACTAAACCCACATCACTACACGGAATAACACATACCCACAACTGAAATAAATAACAATAATAAACAACAACAATGATTCCCTTTTACTGGGGATGACTGCCTCCCATGAGCCTCTTCGAATGTCCATGTTATGACCAATTGTTATACTGATGATATAATTTGTAATGAAAAACTTTACATTAGAAAGTAACGCAAAGCATTTCCTCTAGTGGTCACAGATTTTGGAGCCCACTATATATGTATGCTTAGGCCTCCAAGCTGAGGCTGACTCAAAGTCCACAGAAACACACAGCCTATACTTTCTGTGAGTCAGTGGATTCCTAATGTTCTATGTTGAACTTTTTAGCAGAATGGGCCATTACCCAGTGTCTCCTTCTTTGAGTTGAGCGATTTCTTCTTCTTAAAAAAGTGCTTCATACTCAATGTGAAGGATTCAGTGTGAAAAAATCCATAAAAATCAACAATAGATAGACCCCAGATATAAATAAAACACTGAGATACAATTAATGAAAAGAATAATACTGAAAAGTCCGTAAGTGGTCAATGACACCTCATACACAATACAATACGTTGTGCAGAGGCTGAATCATCTGGACCAATAGAAATGGACCAATAGTTGTACATTTTCTGTATATTGAAGTTAAGAATGTTTATTTCTCTCTTGTGTGAAGTTACCATTTCTGAGACAGGAAGTTCTCCTATGACAGTGATGATATGTGAGTAACTTTCAGCCCATATGCTACATGATAAACTTCCTGCATTACAGGGTTTTTCTTTACCTTCATAGAAGTCGTGAGTGCACATAGTGTTTCCGATGACCGTGGGGAAGTTGGGCAGCTCAGTTGAACATTGCAGGAGCTCTCTGGCCACTTCTTCATCCAGCTCAGTGCTCCTGATGATCACTTTACCCAGAACCACCTGCTCAAACTGGGGCCTGAAGAACGAGTCCACTGCTTTATCAGTGATCACCACTGTGCCCGGGGCAAGACCTTAACATACACACACAAGATTATATTCATGGCTTTGTAGGGTACCTTCATGTCCTTCTGTGTGACTCTAAAGCCTGGCTTGCTACACGTAACCCATCAACACTGACCCCAACACGTTTAATCCATTCAAATGTATATATTCAAATCTAAGTAGGTAACCTCAATGAAAAGGTGCAGCCTGATACTCAATGACCTAAAGTCAAATGACCTAAAAGTGCTAACTTAAAAGATTACATTTCTCTAGAATTTATAGAGGCATCACATCTTTCTTTCCTTGTATACAGTGAAGTCTGATACAGTACATTTCCCACACCAGTTGTAATTAGTGCAGAAGCTGTGCGATTCGCATTAACGGCACACTAGATTAAGTAAATACATCAGGCCTCCTGGAAAGACTGTGGCTCTGTATTGTGCAGTGTGGCTAACAAACTGAAAAAGTGAACATTAAGTTAGATACCGATTCCACCAGAGGTTCCAATGCGGAAGAGGATGACATCACGACAGCGGGCGTGGTACAGCAGCTTGATGAGCTCATGAAGCATTATGGAGATGGAGGGCACGCCCATGCCATGCTGCACAGAGATAGGATAGGACTGTCAATCACTGTCATTCAACCCATGATGACAATAACACCCTGGCATAAAGCACTTGAAGAATGAAGTTAATCAGTCAAAAATGCACACATCACACTCCTTTTTACAGTAACCATAAAAGGCAACGTTTGCCTGTTTCTCTCAGTTAAACTATGCATTTTTCAATAATATAGATGGAGTATATTCTGTTGTAAAACATAGAATTTACAAAACCAAAAGCAAGTTTTTTTCCTTGTTTCATGTTTACAAGCTTATGTTTGTACACCATTAAATAAGATGGTTCTTCAAGGGTTCTTTAGTAAAGAAAATAGTTCTATATAGCATGATTTGCATGATTAAAGGGTCCTTTGCATCATGAAAGGGTTCAGAGTGATGGAGAATATGCTGCAGATGGTTCTATTTTGCACCAAAAAGCGATCAACTATGGTTATGATGTCAAGCTTGTAACAATAAAAGAACCCTTTCTGGTGCTATATTGGACCCTTTACAAAAAGGTTCTATATGGAACCATCTGCAGCATATTCTCCATCAGTCTGAAGAACTATTTTAAGTTGCAAAGAACGCTTTAATCAACACAAGGGTTCTTTGAGTGTTAATGGTTCTACATAGATCATCTATACTAAAGAACTTATACTAAAAAAGTGTGTATTTGTGGAGAGGTGTGCATTTTTTCACAGTAGGAGGTTCTCACCCCCCCCCCCACTTTCGCCCCTCAATGCAGATTCACAACATTTCAAGCATAGAGAGAGAACAGTGTCCTAGTTAACGTTATAACAGAGTTAAGGGATACAATATTGCATTAGATTAAATTAATTTAAAATATGATTTCCATTCTGCCGGTGGAATGGCCACTAGGGGGGCTGCAGGAAGAGGTTAAAGAGGTTAAACCCTGCTGCATGACAACAACATAATCCTGACATGAACAGATGCCATATGCTGTCATGAGTTGATTGATGCTATCAAGGGTCCTGATCTAGGAAAATAAGTTTATCTGATAAGAGTTTTATGGCTAAAAAGCCAAAATAACTACTTTAAAAAGGCCCAGAGGGTTGATTTTCCTTACGAAAAGTTAGAAAATAAAGATCTGGTGCTATAATGATTTAAAATGCTTTGTTATTGTTTCTTTGCAACATGCAGTAAGTGGCTAAACTTCAGTGTACTGGGTAAAAAGGCAGACTGAATGTTAGGTCCAGTGAGACTGTTCCACCGCACAAACACAAATAGAAGTTTTCTCTTACACTGATGGAGAGCACAGGTCCCACTTTGTACATGGAGTAGCGGTCAGTTCCCTCACAAATGTCTCTGATGTCGTCCACATTGCCAGGCAGCTCCAGCTCTTGATGAATGAACTGAGCGAAAGATCTCATCCTATTGGCGCTGCCCCCAACACAGACAAACTACACCCCGTCAGAGACACAAACAGAGAGAGAGGGAGATGACAAGAGGTCGGGTTAATCCTCATTCTACATAGACACAAGCCCCTTCCACATGGTCCCTGTACTTTCCCTCTTCCTCTCTTCTGTAGTGCTCTGTGTGAAAATGCATTGGTAATCTCAGTCTCAAGTGATTGGACAGCATCAATTTTGAAGTGTTCAACAAAGTGTGTTCTCATTCAGCCAAAATAAAAATTCTCATGTTGTTTTCAAACACAAAAAACTCTCCTTAGAAAGATGGGGCAAAAAAAATGTTATAAAAAAATAGGTATAATTACAGAAATTCCTTTAGTCACATTTGTGACTTGTTTTTTTTTTTTAATAATTAATATTTCGGAATTATACCAAAATAGATCATTCATATTTTAATTAAATTTAAGCTTTTTTGATGCACTGATGAGTCATTTTCCTAAGAATCTCATTCTCTTGCTCTGTGCTCTATGGGTTGTGGAATCTGGGTTCCTTTAGGTTCTTTGAGTTCTACACCCACCTTAGTGTCTCCGAACATGGTGGGCAGATTATGGGTTTTGGTGCTGAGGTTGAAGTGGTAGAGAATGTCCTCCTCCATGGTGTCCAAGTGTGGGTTTTTCACATACTGCTCCTGCCTGGGGGGAAACAACAGCTGTGTCAAATGTCACCACACCTACCTCAGTCATGAGATATTAACACAGAACCACAACACCTAAATGCATTTTTGAAAGAGGAACATCTTAGTTTTCCTACGTTAATGGGAAAACATGCTCTTGTATTAAAGTGCTTGTAATTAGAATCAACATCATTAATGCAGTCAATCGGGTAAAACCCCACCCAACTGCCTGCCTAAGTGATCACAAAGTTGCCTCAAATTGCATCTAGTTGGAATCTCAAATGATGTGGTTTCTGAGACGATATGACACACTGTTATCTATAAAAACAGACAAAAGTACATTGCATGGCAAAGTATAGAATTCTGTGTGTACTTCAGTCAATTTTTATAGATAAATGTAATGCTAATTGTTGGAATATAAGCTTCCATTACATGTTAGCTACATTAGCCTTGTAGTTCCAGATCAACACTAAAAGGAAAAATTAGGATGAAAGACATGTCTTGATTGATTTAACTGCTTTAAGAACACAATACGAATACAGCACAATACAGAAGTATCCTCTGTTAAAGGCCTATGTACATGTTTCTCATAAAAAATATGGGTAATATTATACTTGATCTCTGCTACATAACATTGACATATGTTTGACACATGTTTGATATTATAACATGTAACTAGAGTACATTTAGCAAACAAATAGCACATTACATAAGCTGTCATGACATTAAACCTCATGGCCTCTGTGATGTCAATTACCAGTAATAGTATCATGACAAAATCACTGAACACAATCTGTCATGATGACTCATGACAACATATGACATCTGCTCTAGAAAGAGTCCCAGTGTAGCAGCTGAACAAGCTGCACATCTAAGTTGGAGAGGAGGAATAGAGGACTTCTTACTCTATATATTCACTGTGTTCTTGTCCCATGCAGTTGAGCAGAATTGGTGCCATGGTTGCAGTTATGCTTCCCTCTGAAAGACAAAGATGGACTGAGTTACAGCTGAACAAATAAAACAAGTGTATGACATCAGTTACGATTAGTAACAATAAAAAGAGATGCACATAACTTACACTATGCTAGTAGAACGATTAGGGTCTTTTTGAATAAAATGTCCTTAAATCCAAGATAAACTGCAGTGGTGTTTCTCCTCCTGGTGGTCTGTGGTTTAAATCTGTTTGTTTAAAGGACGGGAACTGATATAGCTTTGGCCCTCGGCCCCTGAGGTGGACTGATTGGTTGTGGAGGGAGGTGTAGCATCTGTTCCTTCTCTTCCCTTTTCTACTCCCACCAGCTGACTCCCTCCCTCAGCTGGATACTGGTCTCAGGTCCACTCAACTTTCCCAGACAAACGAAAACAAACCTCCTACGCAAACAGCACACCACATTAAGCTCTTTGTGATTGTCTGTGTGGTTGTGGATGGTATCATGTAAATGTAAATCAATAAAGTAATAAAAATAGGTTTGGTTTGTTGTGACAATGTACAGTACCAATATATGCTATCATCAAAAAGCAGACAGTTTACTACACCTTCAGTGATGATTACGCAACATGGAGGTAAATATGAACCTCTGAGGGTGAGCTGGCATTCACGTGTGCAGTTTTTACGTGAGAAGGGAATTTACGTCATCAAATTCCTAAATGTTTTCCCTTACAGATATTCCGTAAGAGTGAATTTCCCAAGCAAATAACCGCTTTTGGACACTAGTATTTTATAATTCAGTTATGTGGATAAAAGCATCAAAGGGAGAAATTATTAAAACAATAATTGCAGTATTTTCAAACACATTTGTCACATTTATGTTGGCTTACAAACGTATAGTTGAGTCCTCGCTAATCAATAGACAGATAGATGGATGGACAGACGGATGGACAGATGGATAGCCCTCATGTGTTCCTGTCCAAATTATACCTAGAAAAGTCTCTGAGCTCTTGATATTGGAATTAAAATGAATTCTTTTTCATTCATTCTCCATTAATATCATAAAAAACCCATTAGCAGGGCAATGGGAAAAAATAAGGGTGTTTGCTTCATTCAAGTACATTTATTTTTCCCTTTTCTTCATGACAAATGGGTTTTCGTAATATAAATTGGCTCAGCTCATGATTTATTAAAATATTTTCATTAAAAAAGGTTCATCTTAACAAAATAAGTGAAATTTTATTCCTTTAAGAGGCGACTATGAACATTCACTGATGAACTGACAGCTATTATGAATTACCAAGGTAATTAACCAAAGTTAATTGGGTAATTGATTGTAAAATGGTGTGTGAAGTCATGATTTCTCTCTATAGAACACACACACACACACACACACACACATACACTTAGCTTAGTCGTCAGCTTTCCAGTCTCTAGGAATGTTGGACTGTTTATATTTTAGTCATTTACAGTTTGAAAACTCCTGAAAATGTAAAAACTCAAACTCAGCTAATCAGTTGCTCAGGTAGAGTGAAGGAGAGTGAGGCTCGACCTAACCTGGGATAAAATGTGACACAGCTTTTTCATGTAGTTAAACATTTTCAAGCAGAACGGGATTCTGGCTCGTACGATCTTCTTGTACTCGCATTGTCATCTTGACATCTGGCTTATGTTTCTCAACATTCACCATGGTATTTAATAAACTTCAAGAAGATTGTACTTTTGATCATCTTCTCATATTCCCATAGCAACTTCAGTCACTCTGCCATCTGCCAGGTATTTCTCTAGATCCACCCTGAAGACCATTTTTTTATCATGAAAGTTTTTTTTATCATAACTGCTTTTCTGTAAAGCTGCTTTGAGACAAAACTAGTTTTAAAAAGCACTATACAAAAAAAATGTTGTTGTTGTTGTTGTTGATGATGTTGTTTTTCAAGCTGAGAATTAAAGACTACATAATTTTAATCACTCTCTTGGTGGATGTGATATAAATTTGGAACTGAATAACCAACTTACAGTGAGACCTAATCTATATCCCAGAATTTTTACAACAGTTAATTATTTGGAACTTTTCTTGCATGGATTCTTCAAAAATACTATAAATGCCACGCGAATCTTTGTTTGACACACCCTCCTTTCACTTATTATATTCATTTTATGCATATATGTATATGCATAAAATGTTTAGAATCAGAGAAACAACAGAGACTTGTATTGAATTAATTCAATTTTGCATCAATTTCCAAGCTAGCCCCCTCAGTCTGTCACAGTTGAGCCCACATATGGGGTCCATTTTCCATTCACCCATATCAGTAAACAGTAGTTCAGTATCTTCCTCCCTTTCAGTGATGAACATCATAGTACCTGGGTGCTAATAGTTCCTCTGTGGAAGAATCTTCACCCTGCTTAGTTTAACTGATTATGACTTATTATTATAATTATGATTATGACTCATGCAATTTTAAATTTATTGAACTTTAAATAATAAGTCTACATAACTTAAGACTAAGATTCTTGTTCTGTTAACTTGCGAACTTTAACATTAGTTATTACCAACTTTTTTAAAGTATGAAGTGCTTTGCATCCAAAAATAAAATAGCAAATTTCTATACTCATATTGTTTGTGTGTGTTATGTATTTACAGTGACAAACTGAACACAGTCTTAATGTATAATAGTTTTGGCACCTAAGCAAATTTTTTTAAACCGTCTATCTCAGCAATAAATGCACAAAAATGAGTTGGAGACTTTCTAAGTCAGGAGAATGCAAAACATATTCTTGTTCTGTTACAATTAGAAGTATTAACCTATAATAATTAACCCAAAATTTGAAGGCAGCCCAGTTGCTAACTTTTTAGGTGAAACACCTTTTTTTTACAGTGTGGTTTTACCTGTAAAACTGTAAATACCAATAGAATAAATGCAAATATACATATATAAAGTAAAAAAGTCACAAAATATTGTGTTGTCACAAAGAAAGGTTTGGAAATGGTAAGTCTAACACACTGACATGCATGAAATTACTATTTATTCTAATATTAGTGTTTTTTCTGAGAAAAAAAAAAACCACTTACGGCCCAGTGAAATGGCTTTTTAAATCTAATTTTGTATCTTTTGTATTTTTTTTTTCTAATAATCATGTGACTTCTTGTTTTTATCTGTTTTGGGAATGACAGTTATGGGTTGCTGTGCTTTGGCTAAACGGTATGTGCCACCTCACAGTGACGGCTTATTAAACCAGTTATCCAAATGCATTGCTATGAATTATGATACTTGTATTAGGCTATATGAGTGATATAAACCGTGTAATGTTTCTGACAACCTGAGCGGCAAACCTCAATAAGAATTAAGCTCACAGCAATGTGGCCGATTAGCTTACAAAAACAGAACAAGAAATTATCACTGAAATTTATTCCAAACATAGAGTTATTAGTCAGTGAGAGACTGTAATCCTGAGTCAGAGTCTCTCCCAGATCCGGAATGTCCTGGAACAGAAACACTGCAGGAACCAAATATTTTCTTTACTATTGAAAGATCACAGAATACATTATTCAAGACAAGTATTCTTTCTCATCATGAACAAAGCTTATTGTAGGTCCCACAACGCACATAATCACACAATTGAATAGTAACGAACTACGTGTTCTGGATTAAGTCATCCGATTACAAAAACCTTATTTGTAATCAAATTAGGATATGTTTGAAAATAGGTCTAATCAGATGACATATTTTTTTAAAGTTACTGTTTTTAAAGGTGTCATTTTTGATAAGGAAACATCAATAAATAAGTAAATTATATATACTAAGGCTTGTTATTCAGTAACTACAGGGACTTCAAAGCAAACTGGTTTAGTTATTCTTAGGTTATAGAAGTGTGTAATAAAACTTTGGGCCAGCCGGTGGGCCCTGGCCATGTAAGGGGTTAATTAACTTGGCTTATGAGTCATTCCACTCATATAATAATGCTTAATACCTTGATATAATAATAATACCTCTACCTCCTAATTTACCACAGTCAGTATACACTTTGCCAAATGTTTTTGGACACTCTTCTTATGTCACCATCATACAAGCATGCAAACAACCCCTTAGCAACCATCTGAAATAGCATGGCAACAGCCTAGCAATACCTTAGCAACCACCTGGGATAGCATGGCAACAGCCTAGCAATACCTTAACAATCATCTTGAATACCACACCTTCTAACCACCTTCATCATCTAAAAATCGCCAAGGAACACCCTAACAAAAATCTGGAATACTATAGCAACTCCGTAGCAACACCAAAGCAGCTACCTGGAATTACTATATATAAACTCAATTAAGTTATCAAAAACAATCAACAGCATCCTGGAAGTGCTTTAGCTTTTAAAGCATTATTAGATGGCTTTGTCAAGCCAGCTTAAATCTCACCAACTTAAAATTCTCTTTCTAGTTTATTGTTTGTGCCCATAAACTGCATATATGTGGTTTTGTGAGAAATAAGAAAGGGGGAGGTGATATTAGAGCTGTATGCTCAGATAGTTTGAGCTTTTTGAAACCAAATAACCAATTATGAAACAAAATAAATGAATCACAGCAGAAATAGTCAAAAAGTAATTACACAGTACAAAGTGAGGCAATTACACGGTACAAAGTGAGGCAATTACACGGTACAAAGTGAGGCATTGCAGTAATGTAATTACTTTTTCCTGTAATGAGTTTCTGTAATGCATTACAGTTTTAAAATCTTTAACCACATTACACTGACTGACTTAATAAGAATTTTGTTGCTCATGTTACTCACATGTCTCTAAGGGAACAATATCAATTATGCGCAAAACATAAATATTGTTCATCATTAAATACATTTCACTATATTCTTTACCTGATTACAATTATTCTGTAGTCTACTCAACGCTGGGATCATACATGCACACACACACACACACACACACACACACACACACTCAGAAGGTTATCTTCACTGGCTTTGTTGGACTGAGTTTGGGACTTTCTGAGTTCTCTTCTTCCTTCATGCAGCTGAAGTTCCACACTGGGGCTTCTTCTGCTCTGAGGAACTGAAACAACATTCACACATTCTTGAGCACAGATCAAGCGATTCTAATGGAAAACAGTTTTAGGAGTCAGTAGTGCTGGGATTATTTTATTATGGTCAAATATTTGTTGTTTTAATAAACAAAATCAGATCAAAGCGAATTAAATCTGAGTGGTGTAATTGAGAGTCTTATAAATAATGAATCAGTACTGAGGTCCAGCCATGCTGTTCTAGGATGTTTGATGTTAGAAAGCAGTGTATTTCACAAAGCAAGATTTCTCAGTTAGCCTGATAAGGCGTTAAA